ATAATACTAGATAGTACTCTAACTGTAAGGTAGGAAGAACCTTAGTCCTTCTAGCTTAAGAGCCCTAAGGCTAGGAAAGGAATCGAAGGATAAATATACTCCTTAATAGTACTCTATATATAGAGCGCTAGCTAGGTAGAAGACACTATAAGGAAGAGACTACTAGTCTAAGGAACTATCCTCCTAGTAGAACCCGTTACCTAGTAACAAAGGATAGTATAGTACCTTAAATACTAGAGGTTTAGATATATAGCTAAATACTATAATAAGAGCTAGGTATACGGAAAATACGTAGAGGAATATAGAATAGACAAATACCCTAGTAGTAAATATATATATAGCAACTATAGAGGCAGCTATCCTACCTAGTCTAGGATATATAGCGTAAAGCTAGCTACCTAAGTAAAGGTAGGAGGATTTAGGGATATAATAGTAGAGAAGTTTAGAGGGATATAGAGGAGCTAAGAAGACTAGACGCTAGTATAAAGTAGGAAGAGGCAAGCCGAATCCCTAGGAGAGCGGAGGAGAGAGACCTATTAGGATACCTAAGAGAGAAGACCCCCGGGAAGACTAATAGGTACTATAAGTATAAGGAAGTAGGGAGATACCTAGACTAATAAACTTAGCTTCCTCCTCTTATAGTTAAGCTAATAGAGGATAATAGAGAGGGAAGATATATAAATATTAGACCCCCTACTATCCTTTAATATTGACTAGCCTCTATATTATCTAGTATAATATAAGCTATAGCGTAAACAAGGTATAGAGAGCCTTTCTCGAACAAATAGACCTAAAGGAGGACTATATTCTAGCAATTTAGGGGCCCTAAATTAATATAACTATAGGAAATATAGGTAAATACCTAGGCTTCTATATTATCGTCCTATAAGGCCTATACCCTAGAGTAGCACTCTATATATCTAAAAAAATATAGGAGGCTTTATAGGAGCTAAACTCTTAGCATAAATACCTACTAGTAGTTAGTATAGGAATAGGAAGAAATAGAGTTATTATCTATAACTGCTACTACCTATTAGCCCTAGAGAGTAGTAGGGAAGCAGGATTACTACTACTTAAGTCTTATAGAGTAGGCTATCTAAAAGCACTAAGGTAATAGCTAAGTCCTAGTAGGTAACTTTAACCTTTACTACCTAATATAGGGAGAAAACCTAGACTAGAGCTAGTACTACTAGGTAGACAACCTTATTAGAATTATAAGAGAGAATAGTATACTTCTTACTATAGTAGAGGGAATAGTAATATAGGAGAACTAGAGGAGCGTAAGGACCCTTAACCTTATATTTGTTATCTATAATATCTAGTAAAGACTTAGCTAAAACTAGGTAGATAAACATAGAGCGATAGGATTAGACTGTAAGCTAATCTCTATAAGGATATAGGAGCTGTAGTATAAACGGAGAGACCGAATACCGAGACCCTAGTAGAAAAAAGCCGACTAGGAGGCAGTTAGAGGAGACCTCTAATAAAGGCTCCCTTCCCTACCCTAAGGACTATTTACTATAATAGAGTAGGCTAAGGACGCTATAGTAGGAATATAGTTAGCAATATAGGAATGCACTAGCAATACTATCTAGGACTACTATCCTACTAGCAAGGCTATCTAACTTTATAAAGATATCCTAGATAAAAGAGTATAGTAGGATAGTTAGCTACTTACGCTATCCTAGGAGAGAGTAGATAAAGTCTAGGATAGAAGAGAACCGTAGGGCATACCTAGTAGCTATATATACTAAGGACAAATAGATTTAAAAAGATACTAACCTAGTATAGAGAAGAGTAGTAAGGGAGGCTATAGAATAGTACCCTAAGATATAGAAGCTAGGTCGCTAGGCAAGGGAGAAAAAGGGGGAAAAATAGGCCCTCCCTAGATCCTATTACTCTAGTAGATAGAAGGAGGATAAATATACTCTCTAAGTCTCTAATAAAGGTAAAGCAGATATACTAGCTAAGTACTTCTTCCCTAGGCTAAGGGAGGCTAACCTATTAGATATCCTAGAGGAACTACTACCCTAAGAGAGGATCTAAATAGATATCTTAGTCTCCTTAGAGAAGATTATCTAATTTCTTAAGAAAATAGTACCTAACTTAGCCCTAGGACTAGACTAGATTACTAATAGGTTTAATAAGGAATATAGGCGGATCCTAGCCCTATACCTAGCCCTACTATTTATAGTATATATCTAACTTAGCTACTACCTAAAGGTATTTAAGAAGTTAATAATAGTAGTTCTTAAGAAACTATAGAAATTAGACTACTTAAAGCCTAGTGCTTATAGGCTAATTGCCCTACTTAATACCCTAGCTAAAACCCTTAAGGCAATAGTAGTAGAGATAATCTTAAAGTAGGTTAAGAAGAAGGGGCTCTTACCTAAATTATAAATAGGAGCTAGGCTAAAAAGGTATATAATCTTAGCCCTAGAGCTAGCTATAGAAACAATAAAAACAGCCTAGGAAATAGATAAATCGTATATAGCACTAATACTCTACCTAGATATCTTAGGAGCCTTTAATAAAATATTATACTAGAAACTCCTCTATAATATAAAATAAAAGGGATTCTTAGAAGAAATCTACCTCTTTATATAATCCTTCCTCTAGGATAGGAGGATAAAGCTTAAAATAGGACAATTTATAGATAGAAAAAGACTATAAGAGATAGATATCCCCTAGGGCTCTACCCCCCTACCTATAATATTCCTCCTATTTGCCTCTATACTCCTCCCTAAACTAGAAGGCCCTAAGACAATAGTAATAGGATTTGTTAATAATACTAGTATTATTATATATAGTAAGTCTACGGAGCAAAACTATAGGAGACTTAAGGAGGCCTATAAAGAGTATATAGAGTAGGTAAGGAGGGGTAGAGTAATATTTGCCCCCTAGAAGTACTAACTTATCTACTTTATAAGAAATAGGAGGAAACATAACCTATAGGCTACTATCTAGATCCTAGGGTACTAAGTATAACTAGAACTAGATATTAGACTCCTAGGGGTCTAGCTAGATAGTAAGCTTATATAGGGGCTATATATTAGAAAGGCCTAGGAGAGGAGCCTTACTAATATATAGTCTCTCTAGGGACTATATAAGTTAATATAAGGTACTAGCTTCTAGAGAGCAAAGCACCTGTATAGTATAATAGTTAGACTAGCCCTAATATATAGTTACTAGTAAATCTAGGTAATACTAGAAGGAATCCGGGAATACTAGAAGTACCTCTAGAAGCCCCTTAAGAAATTATAAAACACTAGGCTAAGATATATCCTAGGAGCCTATAAGAGTATACCCAAAGCTATCCTCTAGAAGGAAGCCGATATACCCCCCCCCTCCTTACTCTCTATATCTAGAATATAGCAAGACTCTTAGTAGTAAAGAGGAATACTCTACCTATATAATAGTATATAAGGAAAAAGTATAGAGAAATAGAGAATAGTATTAGGGGCTCTAGGAGATAGAACCTAAAAAGAAGAGCTACTACCTAAGAATAGGTTACTAATCCGAGCGAAGCCGGATGTTTTTAGGCTAAAGTTAGAGTATTCGAGGAGCTTGCGACGAGGATACAAAAACGGAGGTCTAAAAATAGTAGGCGAGCGGCGGATAACAATTAGTCTTAGTAGCAGACTCTATATTATATAGTGTAGGCAGGTAGCCTTCTGCGTAGTATAAGGCGTATTACGAGGGTCGTCTATAGAAGGGGTTAAATCTAAAGATACGCTTATATAAATTTAGCTATAGCCTCTTATTAGTCGAAAAAGAAAACGAAATTACGTACTCGTAGCCTTAAGCCTTCGACTCTTACATTACTTCCTTATAAGCGCGATAATAATAATAAAGCACAATAATATAACGATACTGTCCGCCGCTCGCCTCCGGCTTCGCTTAGCTATCCTAACCTATACCGCTAGTCTACGGATACTTTATTTAGTTAGCTAAGAGGTAGGGATATAGGAAAGAGTAGCCCTACTCTACTTAGGAAGGATATAGTAGAGTAAGAATAGTTAGGTAGAAAGATAGGAAAAAGAGAGGATAAGAAAAGAGGCTCTATAGTAGAGTTAGAGTAGACTAGTAGCCTAGTAGATAGGGTACTAGAAGAGAGGGATCTATCTCTACTTAGAATAGCTAAGACTAGTTACCTTAATAGCTATATAAATTAGGATAGAGTATATTAGCCTAAGATAATACCTTATAAAAAGGAGAGTCCTAGGGATTACCTTAGAATGCTAGTATAGCTATAGAACCTGGTTACTAAAACATATTACTATCTTCTACCCCTTAAGAAAGGAAAGGTAAGAGATATATAGAAAGGTAGGAATAACTTATAACTAGAATACTCTTACTACTATAAAGAAAGAACTCTTAGTAATAGTATAGTGTAACTTTAGTAGCTAATATAGAAAGGAGTACTTAACTAGTTCTTACTAGCAAAGGAGGAGATACTAATATAGTATTAGGATAAAGAGAGGAGAGCTAAGAAAGGGGCCGAGGAGGGAGAAGACTAAAGCCTACCTAGTAAGAGGAGTAGGTTAGGATAGCTAGTATTATATTAGGTAATACAAGTAGGAACTAGGGCCTATAGAGGATAGAACTTAGAGAAAGAGGAGTTATTATACTACTAGCTTTTCTCCTTAGATATATAGAGTAAGGCTACTTATCCTAGTTAGGAGTAGACTAGTAATAAAAGACTTTAATATATATTTTAGTAATTTATTATATTAGTTACTTAATAAAAAGCGCCGCTAGCTAGCTGAAATATAGACGCCTTACTTTAGGTACAAAACAGCACTATACACTATGCACTCGGGGAGATAAGCCTATACCTGGAAGCCAGTCAGCCTCGGCTTTGGGGATTCGGGCTAGAACAACTTGAAGTACAGGGCCGCAGGGCGCCGCTGCAAGTGTATTGATTGAGCGCGTTCGCTCGTTCTAGCTTGGAAGAGATATGTTCGAGCAGATGGATATCATTTCATCGCTGATTAGTCTCTCTTATGCCCAACCATACCAATGTTCCTCAAGCCCCAAATACTGACGCCCAGTGTCAGCACGACTAAGGCAAAGTTATACCAGAATGTGGCATGGTATCCTTTCATCAGAGCATCTGGACTGCGCTTGTCCTCGATGTTGCTCTGTGCAGTTACACTCGCAGCAATTACCGCAGTGAGAGCGAGTCCGACAGACTTGCCAAACTGGCTAATGCTGTTGAAGACGCCTCCGGCGAGAGCCTGAGTCTTGGCTGGGGAGACCGAAGTGATGAGAAGGTTCGAGATTGTGAAGAGGCAGTCGGCGCCGACAGGATTGAGGGCATTTGCGAGGAAGGCTAGAAAGCACGATATTAGTGACGTGACTCGTTCGACACATGGGATACCGACCTGTTGGCCAGTAACTCGAACTCGGGGTCGCAGGCACCATCACCAGAGGTGCTATAGCTGAAAATACACAACCGACAAATATCATCCAGTTTGCAGGGACTCGATGTACCAGGAATCCTGTCACGACGTTTGCGAGGAAGCCCGTGACGGGCGCGGGCAAGAATCGTATTGAAGATTGTGTGGCCGAGAGGTGCTGTACGTCTTGGAAATAGAACGTCAGAATCGTTTCAACCGAATTGAAAGTACCCCAAGTCAGGAAGACTGCAACACAAATGGTGGTAAAGATTTTGTTCCTCCACAGCGAGTTTGGGATAATCGCAGGCCGTCCGAGACGCTCTTGTCGACCAAACCAGAGTACAAATGCTGGGATAAGCCCGAATGCTAGCGAGAGCATAGCAATACTCGAAGGTCGCGCTGAGAGAAACTCCATTCCAGACTCCTTGGAAGTGCTGAACACTTACTGTTTTTCTCACTCGTAGTTCCGGCAGGACTATTCATCTTGAGTTGGGCCGTCGTACGCCGCGCGAGGCCGTTGTCGTGCTTAAAGCTACCGCTGATCTCGATTTCTGCTCAACTCGTGTCGCGCAAGCACGACCAAGACCAGTTCTGTGATGTTGTTGGATCACTGAGTGGCCGCAAGGAGACCTTCAACAATTTGCCTCGCCTTTTCTGGCTCAACAGTACCTTCCTCACCCCTGCGCACCATCTGTCCAACGAACCACATAATTTTGCCTTTCTGACCCTTCTTGACGACCGCGTCAACCATCTCTCGATTCTCGTTCATAATCCCCTTCGCTAAAGTGGTGTATTCGGCATCGGAAAGTGGTCGTAGGCGGAGGTTTCCTTCATCGATCAATTGCTCCACGCTGGGTCTCGATGATTCCGGCAATGCGTATAGCGTGGCCAGCAATTGCTTTGCTGCGCGAGCAGTAATCTGCTTGTTCGTGAGCCTTACGAGAATGTGTGCGAGCTCCTGCGGCGTGACTTTCACATTTTGCCACACCATGCTGGTCTCCATCAATCCGCCAAGTTCATGCAAGACCCAGTTGCCGACCATCTTTCCCAATTTCTTGTTGTCTTTCTCTGTCGATAGCTCGCCCAGAATGCTCACAGTTTCCTCCATGAACTCCAATCTGTCACCATCATCAAGCCCAACGATTGTTTTCGCGTCTTTCTCACTTAACCCATACCTCTCCAACACCCTTTCGACCGTTTCCTGCGGTCGCTCTGGCATTGTGTCTCTCAGATGCTTCACCAAATCGCTTCCGATGACCAATGATGGCAGATCCGCGTCAGGCATATACCTGTAGTCGACCTCTCCTTCTTTCCCTCTTAGCCTTCTCGTCTCTTTCTCACCAAGAGTCCACCCGCGAGTTTCGCCCTCCACAAATCCTCCACTTTCAAGAACAGATATTTGTCGGTCTCTTTCGGCAATAATCGCATCCTCCACAGCTTTGAAGCTGCTCAAATTTTTGATCTCAGTCCTCTGCCCAAGCCCACTGACGCCAGAATAGGTAGCGCCGGTCCCGGCAGTGCCTCGTTCTCGAACCGACACGTTGACGTCTGCCCTTAGACCACCTAGTTCCATGCCCGTCGCACAAGCGTCTACACTTTTGAGAATGGTTTGAATTTTGCGGACTACAGCTGCAGCTGTCTGTGGTGAATGGATGTGAGGGAGCGTGATTATTTCGATAAGCGGGTGGCCGGCGCGATTGAGGTCAATATGGTAAGTTGAGGCTCCATGAGATGTGGTTTTGGCGGTATCTTGTTCCATTTGAATCTGCTTGATCCCAATTTCGAGGGCGGAGGAGCCGGGCGTGAGGTCGGTGGGAGAGATGCCGTCGGAAGTAGTGAGAGTGAGGGTGCCATTTTTTGCGAAAGGTGCTGAACAAGTATGTGAGAAGCAAACTACAATGAGCTCAAGAAGCTACATACCATAGTATTGAGTAATCTGGTATCCATTCGGTTGATCCCAATGAAAGTAATGTTTTCGGTCCCAACCACTTTTCCTCTGAATGTTGCAGCCAAGCGCTATGGCTGCTCGAAGGGCAGGGAGAAGAGTGGCCACTTGGAACTGCGGTTGTGTGCCAGGCATCGCAGCATCAAACAGCGCCACTCTACTGTTCGCCGCCCCATTGCCCTCTCCTACAGATGCTGGGGCATTGGAGAACAGCTTACAGGCGGTGTTCAACTCGGCGTGTATCTCGATGCCCACCGTCAGCTCCCATTTTTCCAATCTCGGGGATGCATCGTTTGATCTGCTCTTATCACGGCCGTTCGCCTTAGTTTCTGCCTTCTTCCTCTTTGCTTCATCCTTGAGATGTTTCCGCAGAGGAACTGCTTCTTGATGTACCAAAGGCGAGACAGAGATCTGTCGCGATTGAAGCCATTTCGCAACGAAGCATGCTCGAGGTCTGCGAGCTGCACCCCGTGCGGGATTCGAAAGGCTCAGTATAGATGGTGGGCGGACGGCAGATGGTCTCATACTGGCAAAGGAGTTGAAGCTCTGTTGAAGCTCGTCGGAAGGTGAGATGCGGCTTGGCCAAAAGTTTCACAAGCCGTCTACAAATCTACGCTCGCGCCATTTCTCTTACAGGCCCGGCCTTCTGCGCATTCGATGATCATAGTTATAGCTTCGCACGAGAAAAGTTGCTCAAAAACATAGAGTGTCGCTTCACAGATGCTATTGAGACAGCCACCATGCTATATGGCCAAACGCTTTCTCATCGCTTCAACGACGCAATAAGTCAGATGCTTGCTTGAAACGCCACACATATGCCCAGTATCATTTCCCAAATCATATAGCTCATCTTGAGCACTTTCGTTCCCCCATGATATGTGAGAGGTAATGCGACTAGCGCTTCTTTGGTCAATCGGTCTTGAGCGCTTCTGGGTCACGCATCCACCTCCATCAATCTCGTCACCAAACCCCACGGTTATCCTCGAAGTCAACATCAGTCCGCAAGCCGAAGGAGTCTTCAATAATCTCATCCTCTGACTCGCGGTGGACTGGTGTTCTTGGTCTACGGTGTCGGTATCGTGGTGGATCCGGGAGGACATAGTAGTTCTCTTCGTCTTCCTCATCCTCGTCATCATCCGAACACAAGCAATGATCGAGATGTGTTCCACATTTGTAGCAGAAGTCGCAGCCGCAACGGCACCTACGTCTCGATTAGTCCTGACCGAAGTCATACCACAACTTGACTCACACTCACAGGACGTGGTTGCAGCCATCAATCTTCTCTACAAGCCGCTTGCAGTCCGGACATTGCTGCCACTTCTGCTGCTTCGCTAATCCCTTCACCAACTCAAATCCCGCGTTCGCACAAGCTCCAAAATGCTCAGCCTCTTTGCATCTCTGACAGGTCACCGATCTGCACTTCTGGCAGAATGCTTGTCCGTTATGGATGCTGTGTGGTGCGATGAAAACATTGCATGTCACCTTGTGACAGTAGGTACGATCTTTAGTGCTGAGCTCCAAAGTCTTGCCTCTGTAGATTCGTGCGAGCGATTTTGGTAGGTGCCGACGTGCAAGGTTGAGCGATATGGTTCGGCGATGACAGCGAGGTGGATAGGAGCCTTCGTCCTTCATTGCTATTGTGAACAGACGCTCGAGGCAGCCATCGCAGTAGTGACATTCGCAGCGAAGCTTCAAAAGCTGTTCTGGAGGCGGAAAGTCTCCGCAGATGCGACACTGCGGCTCTTGCTCGGTAGCCGTGTCGCTATCCATGGCGAGTTGTGGTGCGAGGTAGAAGGCAGGCCAGTTCCGGAGTGATTCGAAAGGGTCGATCAATGTGGGTGGTGCAGGCGCGCTCGACATGATGTCAGAATATGAGTCTTGTCCTTTGAGCAAGAGCTTTTAAAACATGCAGTGCCAAGGAGCTACGAGTGAATCAAGAGAAAGTCAGTCTTGCATGTGACTGCAGTTAGGACATATCGTGAATTGAAGTTGAAGTGAGGTCAGGTCGATGGTTGCGTAGGCTGATTATGCCAGCACGTTCCTGCGACTTCGGTCAGCATGCCGATATTATCATGTCATCCAAGGCGGAATTCGAAGCCTGGCAGTGATACACAACATCGTGGAGGTTGAGCTCCCATAGGCAGCCTCGGAGTTTGCTACAAATCAGCTTGGGCGGCCTCAGTTTTTTGCCATGGGTTAGCATGTCCCGCTGCAATCAGACGAGCGAACTGCTGTGGTGTAAGTGTAACCGATGAATGACCAATGACGATGGTTATGGCAAGGCTGGGTGCCTATGCTGCTATGCAGCTTGAGCTATGAGCCATACCAGGCATGGAACGGTTCGCATGTCGCTGCCTTGTGCTCGCCTAGCGCAGATCCCGCATTGCCCGATGCTGTGTAATTGATATAGGACATATCTTGCTCTAGGACCTCGCATCGTTCCATGTCTCTGCTCTTTCTGATGTCGAGCGTGTGGTCGCGGGTGTGAGAAAAGGCATACTCGTGGTAGGCGTTGAGTGGGGAAGGTAAATTTGCGATTACTAAGAGAGGTGTGTCATCAAGTAGAATCTTGCCTATATGCACATGACGACCATTATCGGCTTTGGCCACTGGAATCACGATGAATTGTCATCTGGTGGGCACGTTCGTGTTGTCGGAGATCAGCAAGATGGCGGCTTGGCACTCAAAGTTGTTATCCTTGTTATTCTCAACTAGGGCTTATGTGGCTCGAAGAGCCACACGAGAAGCCTAAGGCGACGAGTAGCTAAAGTCTTATCTAGACGCCTATAGTAGGCCTAATCTAAAACGCGTATAGTAAGTTATATCTAAAACGCTAATACTAAAAAGTAATATTAATCCGGAACGCGTTATAGATATTAGAAAGCACTATTTAGAAACGCTTATAGCGAGCACTATTAGGAACGCTTATAGCAAGATAGTCTTAAATATCTATAGTAACTACTTCCGGAATATGCCTATAGTAATTACTATCCGGAATACCTATAGCGAGTACTATTCGAAATATCTATAGTAAGTAGTTCTTTCCGAGTTAGAACGCTTATAGTAAGTACTACCTATAAGGCGTATAGTAAGTACTACCTATAAGGCGGATACTAAGTCTAATCTAAAACGCCTATAGTAATTTTAATCTAAAACACTTATAGGGATTCTTATTTAGAACGCTTATAATACTAAGTACTATTCGGAACGCGTATAGTAAGTCTAATCCGGAGCGCTAATAGTTAGTACTACTATCTATAACGCCTATACTAAGTTTTATTTAGAACGCGCTATATAGTAATTCTAATCCGAAACGCTTATACTAAGTCTTATCCGGAACGCGTATAGTAAGTACTATCCGGAACGCGTATAGTAGGTCTAATTTGGAACGGTAATAGTAAGTACTATTACGAACGCTTATAGTAAGTAGTACTTTCTAAAATACCTATAGTAAGTACTATTTAGAATACTTATAGCAAGTTATATCCGAAACGCTTATAGTAAATACTACTAAAAACGCCTATAGCGAGTAGTAATATTCGAAACGCCTATAGCGGTAACTATCTAAGATATCTATAGCGAGTAGTACTATCCGGAACGCGTAGAACAAGCCTTATTTTAAACGCTTAGTATAGTTAGTTCTATATAAACCGGAACGCGTATAGCAAGTCTAATCCGAAACGCTTATAGGTATTCGAACTGCTTATAGCGAGCGCTAAGTACCCTATATAACGCCTACTACGAGTACCTTATAAAACGCCTATAGCGAGTACTCTATAGAATACCTATAGCGAGTAGTACTATCCGGAACGCGTAGGATAAGCCTTATTTTAAACGCTTAGTATAGTTAGTCCTATATAGGCCGGAACGCGTATAGCAAGTCTAATTTAAAACGCTTATAGAAAGTCTTATCCGGAATATATATAGTAAGTCTAAGTCTAATCCGAAACTAAATACTTATATTAGGTACTACCCGGAAGGCCTAAAGCGAGTAGTACTATCCGGAACGCTTATAGCAAATACTATCTAAAACGCCTATAGCTAAATAGTATTCGAACTATTTATAGCAAGTACCCTATATAACGCCTACTACGAGTGCCCTAAAAAACGCCTATAGCGAGCCGGAATGCGCCTATAGTAATTGCTATCCGGAATACCTATAGCGAGTACTATTCGAAATATCTATAGTAAGTAGTTCTTTCCGAGTCGGAACACTTATAGCAAGTACTGCCTATAAGGCGTATAGTAAGTCTAATTTAAAACGCTTATAGCAACTTTAATCGAAAACAACTATAGGAATTCTAATTTGGAACGCTTATAATACTAAGTACTATTCGGAACGCGTATAGTAAGTCTAATCCGGAGCGCTAACAGTTAGTACTACTATCTATAACGCCTATACTAAGTTTTATTTAGAACGCGCTATATAGTAACTCTAATACGGATCGCCTATACTAAGTCTTATCCGGAACGCGTATAGTAAGTACTATCCGAAACGCGTACAGTAAGTCTAATATAGAACGCTAATAGTAAGTACTACTGAGAACGCCTATAGCAAGTAGTACTTTCTAAAATACCTATAGTAAGTACTATTTAGAATACTTATAGCAAGTTATATCTAAAACGCCTATAGTAAATGCTACTAAAAACGCTTATAGCGAGTAGTATTATTCGAAACGCTTATAGCGGTAACTATCCGAGATATCTATAGCGAGTAGCACTATCCGGAACGCCTATAGCAAATACTATCTAAAACGCCTATAGGCTATAGTAAATAGCATTAGAACTACTTTTAGCGGACACCCTATATAACGCCTACTACGAGTACCTTATAAAACGCCTATAGCGAGCACTCTATAGAACACCTATAGCGAGTAGTACTATACGGAACGCGTAGGAGTCGGTAGGACAAGCCTTATTTTAAACGCTTAGTATAGTTAGTCCTATATAAACCGGAACGCGTATACTAAGTCTAATCTAAAACGCTTATAGAAAGTCTTATCCGGAATGTATAAATTAAGTCTAAGTCTAATCCGAAACTAAATACTTATATTAAGCACTATCCGGAAGGCCTATAGGCTAAGACTATAGCGAGCAGCACTATCCGGAACGCTTATAGTAAGTACTATCTAAAACGCCTATAGTTAAACAGCATTCGAACTATCTATAGCGAGTACCCTATATAACGCCTACTCTAAGTACCCTATAGAACGCCTATAGCGAGTACTCTATAGAACATCTATAGCGAGCAGTACTATCCGGAACGCGTAGAATAAGCTAACTGTTACTAACAACGCCTATAGTAAGGCTAACTTAGAGCACTTATAATAGTAAGTACTATTCGGAACGCGTATAGTAAGTCTAATCCAGAGCGCTAACAGTTAGCACTACTATCTAAAACGCCTATACTAAGTTCTATTTAGAACGCGCTATATAGCAATTCTAATCCGAAACGCTTATACTAAGTCTTATCCGGAACGCGTAGAGTAAGTACTATCCGGAACGTATATAGCAAGTCTAATTCGGAACGCTAATAGTAAGTACTACTAAGAACGCTTAAAGCAAGTAGTACTATCTAAAATACCTATAGCAAGTGCTATTTAGAATACCTATAGTAAGTCTAATCCAAAACGCCCGAAACGCCTATAGCAAATACTGCTAAAAACGCTTATAGCGAGTAGTAATATTCGAAACGCTTATAGCGATAATTATCCGAGATATCTTTAGCGAGTAGTACTTTCCGGAACGCTTATAGTAGATACTATCTAAAACGCCTATAGTTACTAAATAGTATTCGAACTACTTATAGCGAGTACCTTATATAACGCCTACTGCGAGTACCTTATAAAGCGCCTATAGCGAGTACTCTATAGAATATCTATAGCGAGTAGTACTATCCGAAACGCGTAGGCTAAGCCTTTCGAGTATACCGCCTCGAGCAAATACCGCCGGATTAGGTATAAACGACCGATATAGCATCGGAAATAATACTATCGTAGCCTTACGATATATACTACGACTCCTACAATCTCCGAACCGCTTACGAACTATATACTACGACTCCTATAATCTCCGAACCGCTCGTAAACTAAGAAATTTTAAAGTTCCTCGGCTATAGCTAAGTAGAGTCGGCTTTTAGCTTATTTTAAGCCGTAGTAAGCCTAAAGGGGCCGTAAGTACCCTATAAAACGCCTATAGCGAGTACTCTATAGAATACCTATAGCGAGTAGTACTATCCGGAACGCGTAGGACAAGCTAACTACTATCTATAACGCCTATAGAAAGTCTGATTTAGAACGTTTATAATAGTAACTTAGTAAGTACTATTCGGAACGCGTATAGCAAGTCTAATCCGGAGCGCTAATAGTTAGTACTACTATCTATAACGCTTATACCAAGTTCTATTTAGAACGCGCTATATAGCAATTCTAATCCGAAACGCCTATACTAAGTCTTATTTGAAACGCGTAGAGTAAGTACTATCCGGAACGCGTATAGTAGGTCTAATTTAGAACGGTAATAGTAAGTACTATTAAAGTTTAAGCACGCTTATAGCAAGCGGTACTACCTAAAGTGCCTATAGTAAGTACTATTTAGAATACTTATAGCAAGAAGTACTATATTATATCCGAAACGCTTATAGTAAATACTATTTCAAACGCCTATAGGAAATAGTATTCGAACTACCTATAGTAAGTACCCTATATAACGCCTACTACGGGTACCCTATAGGGCGCCTATAGCGAGTGCTCTATAGAATATCTATAGCGAGTAGTACTATCCGGAACGCGTAGGACAAGCCTTATTTTATACGCTTAGTATAGTATAAACCGGAAGGCGTATAGCAAGTCTAATCCGAAACGCTTATAGAACGTCTTATCCGGAATGTATAAAGTAAGTCTAAGTCTAATCCGAAACTAAATAATTATACGAAGCACTATCTAGAAGGCCTATAGCGAGTAGTACTATCCGGAACGCTTATAGCAAATACTATCTAAAACGCCTATAGTCAAATAGCATTCGAACTATCTATAGCGAGTACCCTATATAACGCCTATAGCGAGTACTCTATAGAATATCTATAGCGAGTAGTACTATCCGGAACGCGTAGGATAAGCTAACTATTATCTATAACGCCTATAATAGGTCTAATTCAGAACGCTTATAATACTAAGTACTATTTAGAACGCGTATAGTAAGTCTAATAACTCTAATCCGGAGCGCTAACAGTTAGTACTACTGTCTATAACGCCTATACTAAGTTTTATTTAGAACGTACTATATAGCAATTCTAATCCGAAACGCTTATACTAAGTCTTATCCGGAACGCGTAGAGGAAGTCTATCCGAAACGCAAATAGCAAGTACTATTAGGAACGCTTATAGCAAGTAGGACTATCTAAAATACCTATAGTAAGTCCTATTTAGAATACTTATAGCAAGTCTAATCCGAAACGCTTATAGTAAATACTACTAAAAACGCTTATAGCGAGTAGTAATATTCGAAACGCTTATAGCGGTAACTGTCCGAGATAGCTATAGCGAGTAGTACTATCCGAAACGCTTATAGCAAATACTATCTAAAACGCCTATAGTTAAATAGGATTCGAACTATTTATAGCGAGTACCTTATCTAACGCCTACTATAAGTACCCTATAAAACGCCTATAGCGAGTAGTACTATCCGGAACGCGTAGGATAAGCCTTTCGAGCCTACCGCTCTAAGTAAATACCGCCGGATTAGGCGCGAACGATACCGCCTCGAGCAAAAAACGCCGCCGGATTAGGCGTAAACGACGGAGACGGCCTCGGAAATACTGCTATCGCGGCGCCGGAGCGTTATAGTCGATCCTACGACTCCTACGCCCTCCGGACCGCGCGAGAATCGAGAAATTTTAAAGTTCCTCGCCGCCGACTAATTAGAGTCGGCTTTTCGGTCGTTTTGAGCCGCACTAAGCCTAAAGGGGCCCCAACTTTTGTTAAGTTGTTATATTATAGATTTCAAAAACCCCGAGCTTTTTAGAGCCTCGCTACGCGCGCTCTCGAATTTCGACAATTCTTTGTATTCTTTAGATTCTTAGCTAAATTCTCGCTAATATATGTCTTAATAGTATCTATAATTATTATATAATACTATACTCTTAGTCCTATAAGTCTTAAGTTATATACTAGGGTACTTATTACGCTATCGTCGTCGTTATCTAACGCTATCGCTCGAGGACTTTCGGCCTAAGGCAACGAAATTCCGCTACGAAGAACTTCCGAGAACTTCGCGAGAACTTCGCGGAAATCGCGACGAGTCGTACTAGTAATAGATATAGTAAATACGTAACGAATACTAGATATAACTTACTAATATATATATTGCTTAAGTGCTTATACTCTAAGCTAAATTTTAATATATATATTATCCGATATTACCTAGTATAGCGGGCGGAAATAGGCTATTTCTATAGAAATCGTAAAATTCGAGAAAACGTATAGCGAGGCTCTAAAAAGCTCGGGGTTTTTAAAATTAAGAATAACGTTACGACTTCTTTATCTACTCTTATATATCTGTTTATTCCTATAGCTATATCGTAATACTCTTACTTTAAAGATAGTATAGCTTTAGTATCTACGGAGATCCTCTATTTAAAATTACGTTTTCTCTCTAAATACCTATTTAAAATTAAGAGCTAAGGCCGCTAATATAATATACTAGATATGCCTCTCTAGCAATATTTTAGTACTAAATATACCCGAATTAAGCGAAATAGTAGGCTAGGCTATCCTAGTAGTCCGGATAACTACTTATAGCTATATATTATCTTAGTAAGCTCCCCTATCTATTTATAGTAGATAGCTAGTAATTAAAAGCTATATAGTATTTAATATCTTAGAATAAAATATTTATAAAAAAACTAAATACTAATTACAACTAGATATAATCTATTAATAAAAATATAAGTATAACCTAAATAGGTATAAGGTAGAAGCTAAGAAGGCTTAGCGCTAAGTACGTAGCCGACCTATTTATAAGTGCGACCGAGATCTACGCTTAGTAAGCGTAGATACTTCTAACCTTTTGTCGCTATATAATGCTAGTAGACGGGCGCGCTAGTATAGTAGTTTAGTAATAGCTAACTAGGCCTAAATAGTCTTACTTATATTTTAACTTTTAAGTATTTTTTAATCTACTCTACTAATACTTTTCTAATAGCTAAGCCTATGCTATAGTATATTCTAATATTTTATACTCTAATTTAGAATTCTTAGTATTATAGATTACTAGCTACTTATCTTTATAGGATCTAGATTTATACTAGGGAATAGTAGAATGCTCTACAACTGTATATAATAGCTAATTTTTACTCTTAGACTCTTACTAACCTAAAGAGGTAAGCATTTATACTATCACTTAAATGTCCGATCGTAGAAAATACGTGTTATGCTCCTTCCGTTTGGTTAGGAAGGGGCTGAAACGGAGATAGAGCCCAGTCTGCTATCTCGCTTAACCGAGGCGTACAGTACTGTATACCTGAAGCGCGTCGGAAGGCTCCAAACAACTTAGCTTTGCATCGGAGCTCCAGCACATATTTGACTATCAGCGGATCCATCGCTCTACGAATCTCCGGAAAGAATGTCTACTGGCGTCGCAATACCGGCAGGGAAGGCTTGCCCTGGAAGCTTCAATTCAAAAGCTCGGGCATCTGCCGTCGTAAGTCTTGCATTTCAGCATATTCTTTCCATTGCGCGAGTTGATCCTGCGCGTCTATTCTCTCTACTATCATGTTTTCTTCCTCTGCATTTCTGGCCCTGGCTGGCATCGCAGCAGCGGGTGAAATCCTATGGGATGGACGCCTCACGAACTACAGCGATGCGTCTTTCCTAGCCGAATGGAGCTGGTCGAACCAAGTTGGTCCATATCAATACTACATTCATGGCTCTGGATCAATAGACGACTATGTTGCGGTCTCTGCTTCGCAGTACAAGAACCCTGCCGACACTGCTACTCATGGCATTCAAATTTCCATTGACAACACCTCCAGCTGGCACGAGCAAATCATGATGCGCACCGAGCTCATTCCATCGACCAAAGCCGCTATAAACGCTTCAAAGGTCTTCTACCATTACTCAATCCAGCACACAGAGACAAATCCTCCTACGCAGAACGAGGAGCACCAAATCTGCTTCTTCGAGAGCCATTTCACGGAATTAAAGTACGGCTTGGACTCGACAAATACTCTTCATTGGATGGCCGATTCCAAATCACAGTGGAACGTATCACTCGAAGCTGGAGTTTGGCACAACGTAGCCTACGGAATTGACTTCGATGCGCAAACTGTGACTTTCTATCACTCCACAGGTGCAGATGATCTGACACTCACAGCTGGTCCAGTATCAACGACAACGTTCTCTGATGGCAAAGACTGGCACCTAGGCGTATTACGCTTGCCTGCGAGCTCCGGCGCCAGTGGCATCAAGGAGAGCTGGCACTTCTCCGGAGTGTATATCGAAGATGGTAAGCTAACGACTTCGATCGCCGGAGCATCTAGAGGATATGGTACTGGAGCGTAGACAGCGGCAGGATCTTCTGCATAAGCAGTGTCTTCCAAGGTAGCGGGGTCCACCAGTGTTGTGACGACACTGCAGACAAAGGTGAATACGACTGGAGCAATAGCTACCTCTACTGCATCGGTTGATTGCAAGGTCGTATATGCATAGAAAATGGGCATTACCAGAAGTTCATTTAAATCACCGAATTTGTCTTCTCGCCTTCTTTCCAAGCCGATTCGAACACCGTCATGTAGAACATTTTTCTACGCCATCAAAAGCTCCTCCCAAGTCCTCCACCAACACCTCTTCCACTTCCACTGCCGGAGCCAGAGCCAGATCTTGTCCCGGAGCCTGACCCACCAGCATTGACATCAGCTGCTCCATGTCGTGCATTTCACGGTAGGCCACATTCCTTTTTGGTCGGCAGATGTTTGGCCGCTGTCCAGACGCAGATCTGCTGAAGCACAATCTTGTAAGACGACGCTGCCGACATGGCACCGCGTCTCCTCTTCACATCGCGAAATAGTGAGATGTCGACCGCAGGACGAAGGACAGTCGGGAGAAATCGTGATCGATAATCGTGCCAAGGAGATCCTGGCCAATCGGAAATGACGACCGGCTGAGGGCCAAGGTGAAGGAAGAGCCTCTGGACTTGCCGAGGGAGGCAACCTCCTCACACTTATCGCGGTGTTGTTGAAAGGTTGGCTTTGAAAATAACAAAGACATCCTCAAGTTAGACCAGCAATCATGTCGCTGGAGAAGCTGAGCAACGACGCTCAGCGCTATGTCGACACAGCTCGGCGATTTATCTTAGCTCACCTCCCTGAAGACCGGAACACACGCTTGGTCCTGGCTGGCGGCTCGCTTTCAGTAGCCGGCGTCGTTCTCTACCCACTGGTGCATTATGCTGTCCTTGGTCGACAGGTCACTCACACATACCCCAATGCCTCTTCACGATATGCATCGTTGGAGTGCAGTGAGCTCTCCTCGCTGCCAAAAGACCTTGTGGAAACCCCAAAGCATTATCGTATTGTGCACGATAAGGTGACGAAGCCGCTCCCAGAGCTCACACTCGGGCTCAGTGAGGACTCCAGGGCAGACTTCACCAAAATGATACGCTACAACATGGAGCTCTTCACCAGAACGCCACAAGGCTGGATTGGGTGGTTTGCCCTGAAGGACCTCCGGCACACCTTCACAAAAGAGCATATTGAAAGCCTCGACTTCGTGGAAGGGGATCTGGTCAACGGACTCTATCAAGTGGTGAACCGAACGGCAGTCCGCGTTGAGTTCACCGTCAATCCTCCGCCAAACTTCAACCCAGGTATTGAAGGTCGCCTAATCATTCAGCTCCGTCCCCGAAATCAAGGCGCAGTGCTCCAGATAGAAACCATCCAATGGTCGCACCACGACAAGAGGCTCACTCATCTACCACTGGAGTCGAGATTCCTCAAATTCGTCCATGAGTGGGTTGAGAGGTGGATTGCGATTAAAGGTGCTAATTATCTGTTGAGCATTAGCAAGTAGGAGCTACCAGACCTGGTGTAGCGTAGCAAAGCGCTCTCAAGTTTGTACAATGCACAGGGCGGAACAGGACTTCAGGCATTGCAATAAATGAGCGGAGGCATGATATTATCTTGCTATATTTCTCACTTCCGGCTTTCGGCCTTACTTGATATTCGAAGGCGTTAAGATTAACTTTTGTTCATCCACTGCCTGCTCGGTTGCACCGCTGGGTGAGTATGCGGTCGATCGATGAGGCCAGATGGTAGTCTGCGATCCGTTCAGCGAAAAAATGCGACTTGAGAAGAGGGATGTCGAGACATGTGGAACCGAGCCATTCATCAGGCTTGAAGCTCAATTTTTTCTTGTTTGGTCTCGCGCTAACTTGTTCAAGTAGCCCACTGTTCTCTGATCGAGTCAAATCGTCGTGCCTCTTGCCTTCTTTACGCGTCTCACGCTAAATCTGTTTAGATGGTCTCAAAGGTAGAGACCATTATAACCTTTGCCACATAAGCTCTACAGGCCTTGGAAATCCACGTTGGAAGGTCTCTAGTGACAAGGACACAGGCAGGCTTCTCGTGGGCAAGATAATGGCCCAGAGGAACGATGTTTTGACTAACATACAGCGATGGTCCGATGTAGCGATCTTAGGGTGAACTGCCAAGACATAGCCTCATATTTCCGCCTGATGAGCATGACCTATCATTCCGTCGCAAGGATCAGGACAGAAAGCTTGACTGACAAGCCAGGACTGACGATTTGTGGCGCTGCGCTCGACAGTTTCTGCCTTGCTGCAGCTCGCGGACAGGAACAGCCACCCATTCGCTCGATGCCTGTATCCTTATTCGAGATGCCTTGGCTAGGTTACGCTGGTGGAATGATGGGGCTAGCCGTAATACAACACGAGAAATTTTATTATTACGTCTACTCCGCCTCCTTTGCGGTCAAAACCTACCGGAGAGTGGTCTGTTCTCTACATCTGAGGTCCATCTTCATATGATATACCTGCTACCGTATAGCGAACCGGAATAGTACGCAGCGAGAAGGGAGCAAGCTAGAGAAGTAGCGAAAACTCGAGGCAACGTAACGATTAGACCATGGGAACGACGGGGCGTAGACCCCCAAAAGGTCTCTAAGATCAGTCAACACATATAAGAGCCTATGTTTCCCCTCGCAATCCTCACCACCACTTTGACCACGAGCATTGAGAGCATCACTATTTCACGAGGAAACGCACAACCGGCACCACTGTCTCAAAAAATGGCTGCTCCAGTGGTCATCATCTTCGCGTGCTGCTTGAGCAACATCCCGGCAGTCTTTGCCACGCCAGCAACATCTCAAGTCGATCCGAATTTCTTCCCCGGCGTGCAAACTGGTCTCGGATCATGGTTCAGAGCCCACAACACGCAAGACCACACCAATGGCCACAGCTGGTGTAACTATCCATATACTGACGACGATCCAATCTTCGCGCTCTGTTTGTCAGCAATGGGCGGTGCCACGTTCTACACTAATGAAACGAAATGGAGCGAGTCAATGGCGAAGTACTGTAGTCTGGAAGCCAAAGTCACAGATCCGTCTACTGGCAAGTCAATGCTGCTATACATTGGAGACTCCTTCGAGGACGCATATTGCCAGGTTTGTATACTTTACATGGTTTCCAGCGTGGAAATTCTATGCTAATCAATGTCGTGCACGATGTAGGGTCCCGGTTGGATTGATATCATGATAGGTCCGTTTTAAGCAGCTTCATGGCGATCCGCATGACGACAAGCACAATGATATCAACAACGTGCAATGGAAGCTCACAGGCAATAAGAATGCTCGATACTCTGCACCGAAAGCTTGAACATGAGGTATCGAAGGCTAGTGGGCCATGGTGGAGCTCATCCTCAAGAAGTGAGTGTACTTCGGCCTTATTCTAGCTGATCTCTTCTTCTCCCCAGCAGTGTGAACACAGCTACCTATCGATCTAATGTGTGTAATCATGAATTCTATCGATTAAAACTCGCCTCCCTAAGCCTCTGTTCCTGAATCTTCCAAAGCGGAGTGGCAAGCTCAATCAAACGATCACCAAACTGATCCAAGACATTCTCAATGCCCACGTCAGTCTCCCGAACAGCAGCAGAGTACTCCTCGTCCGTTCCAAACGTCGCGACTTTCCACACATGCTTCAACTCCGCAACAAGGTGATGAAATTCCGGCATCTCGGTGCGAATGCCAGTAGCCACGAGGTAAAATGAAGATCTTTTGGCGTGGGCTTTCGGCGGTTTGAAGAGTTGGATCTCTGCGAATTTGCTGAATTCGAAAAGCAGATGGAGCGTTGGCCAGATTTCGGGCTTGTGCAGAAGGATGATCATGGTGCCTCCCGGGTTGATATGTTCCAGGCCAAGCGCCAGTTGTGTGTTGGACAATCTTCGGGTTTCGCGTTGCTCACGGTATTCCGCACGTGAGTGCGTTCGCAGCACTTGGCCATCGCACATGACCAGGTCGAACTTTTGATCGTCTTGTAGTTGTCTCGGCAAGAAGTTATTATGGTCTGGATGCGATCCGGGGATGTCTTCGACGCCCATGTCAGCAGCGAACATGGTGATGTCGGCCCATGTGATGGTGGCCGATGTTCTAGGTCCCAGAAGCATCTTGTGACCGCCGGCTTGTGTTGGCAGACTGAAGGCCAGTGCTTGTGAGCCAGGGTTCTGCTCCAGAGCAGCGAGCAAGAATCCACCCGGAGCAGCACACATGTCCAAGATATGCGGGCAGTCGGTGCCAGAAGGTTTTTTTCCGATCGTGAATGCGTTAGTGGCTCCTTGCAGCTGGTGTCCAACATGCTTCATCAGACCAAAGAGGTAATTTTCGGTCTGATCATCAGCGTTGTCTGCTTTGAAGCGCTGTTGCTCGAAGAATCGGTCGCCTTCCTTACTCTGCCAACCCTGAGCGCAGTGTGAGATTCGAGTTATTGCGCAAAGGGTTGGTACTACGACTTACCTTTTTGCGAATCTCGGTGAGCGCTCTATACTCTGCAGAGCGTGGAGCCAAGAATCGATCGATGACTTCGCTGGCTGGGCCTTCGTTCTGCTCGTTCTTGGTCTGCATGTTGCTTGACCTTTCACCGGCTAGCATTATCTGACCTGAATTCTAAGCAAGAAAATCACCTGTATCATACCAATAGTCGTCTTAAGTAGGCAAAATCATGTTTGCCATGTCTCTGCCTTGTTTTGGCCCGACATGCTTCGCGAACAGACTGGCACGACAGCGAGACCAAGAATGAGTGAAGTGTCTCAGCTGCCAGTTCTGGTCCAGGAAGCGTATCTCTGCACCGTAGCCAGTGGCACCCGTGCCTTCTCGCAGATACCACCCATTTCTAGAGGGCATCAGCAGATACAAGCAAAAACCGCTGCTCGAATCTTCATGTCCAAAGCTTTTCGATCTGACGCTTCCTCTGCGATATTGAGATTGGACTCATGGCAAGGGAGAGTCCACTGAATTATAATCATCAAACATACTCTGCAATCGAGTGCATTTGAGGAGTGCGCCCGGTGAATGGTTTGAATTTATCACGCACAGCGCAGTGGATTACTTACGTAATACTGCCTTGCCGGCGGTTCAATTTGGCTTCGTTGATTGCCTCTGTTCAGACTGTTCTGTCTATTCTATGGTCTAAAATACAGTGTGAAAATCCTTCATTTGCCAAGAAGTCATGTGATAGTCATGTGACTGAGCTGACGCGTCACAGAATTTTCGACCTGGTGCTTGAGACCGAAGTCTAGGAGTTCGACACCAATCTGCCCCGGGTTGTTTCATACGAGTGTGTATCATCGAGAGGTAGTATCTTAACACTTGCACGCTGATTGTCTGAAAGGTTATCTTTTTATGAAGTGTCTCGGTGTCGGTTCTTCACCCCGCCGTCCAGGAGTTAGTTTTTCAGCGTCACAGCAATGTTCAGTTTGGGGAGAAGCATTCATTCTATATAATGTTAGAATAACCCGAAAACAAGTGCTGGGACTGACCGAATCGGGCGAAACGAGAACGAGGAGAACGCGGGGAAATCACGTGCGGGAACTTCAAAATTCGCGGCTACTCCCGGGCCTCGCGGCCGCCTCGCGAACGGGTATAGATCGTCTTCCTTACGGGGAAATTACATACGGGAACTTCAAAATTCGCGGCTACTCCCGGGCCTCGCGGCCGCCTCGCGAACGGGTATAGATCGTCTTCCTTACGTAAGCGCAATGTGTTTATATAGCTCGAAGAGCTATAAATAAAGGCCGAAGAGCTACAAGTAAAGGCTAAGGCGACGAGCCTAATCTAAAACGCCTAAAGTAATTTTAATCTAAAATACTTATAGGAATTCTAATTTAGAATACTTATAATACTAAGTACTATTTATATAATGTTAGAATAACCCGAAAACAAGTGCTAGGACTAACCGAATCGGGCGAAACGAGAACGAGGAGAACGCGGGGAAATTACGTACGGGAACTTCAAAATTCGCGGCTACTCCCGGGCCTCGCGGCCGCCTCGCGAACGGGTATAGATCGTCTTCCTTACGTAAGCGCAATGTGTTTATATAGCTCGAAGAGCTATAAGTAAAGGCCGAAGAGCTATAAGTAAAGGCTAAGGCGACGAGCCTAATCTAAAACGCCTAAAGTAATTTTAATCTAAAATACTTATAGGAATTCTAATTTAGAATACTTATAATACTAAGTACTATTTAGAACGCGTATAGTAACTCTAATCGGGAGCGCTAATAGTTAGTACTACTATCTATAACGCTTATACTAAGTTTTATTTAGAACACGCTATATAGTAATTCTAATCCGAAACGTATATACTAAGTCCTATTCGGAACGCGTATAGTAAGTACTATCCGGAACGCGTATAGTAAGTACTATCCGGAACGCGTATAGAAAGTCTAATTCGGAACGCTAATAGTAAGTACTATTAAGAACGCTTATAGTAAGTAGTACTATCTAAAATACCTATAGTAAGTACTATTTAGAATACTTATAGCAAGTTATATCCGAAACGGTTATAGTAAATACTACTAAAAACGTTTATAGCAAGTACCCTATATAACGCCTACTACGACTTATAGTAAGTAGTACTATCTAAAATACCTATAGTAAGTACTATTTAGAATACTTATAGCAAGTTATATCCGAAACGGTTATAGTAAATACTACTAAAAACGTTTATAGCAAGTACCCTATATAACGCCTACTACGAGTACCCTATAAAATGCCTATAGCGAGTACTCTATAGAATATCTATAGCGAGTAGTACTATCCGGAACGCGTAGGATAAGCCTTATTTTAAACGCTTAGTATAGTTAGTTTTATATAGACCGGAACGTTTCGAACTGTTTATAGTAAGTACCTTATATAACGCCTACTACGAGTACCTTATAAAACGCCTATAGCGAGTACTCTATAGAATATCTATAGCGAGTAGTACTATCCGGAACGCGTAGGATAAGCCTTATTTTAAACGCTTAGTATAGTTAGTCCTATATAAACCGGAACGTATATAGCAAGTCTAATCCGAAACGCTTATAGAAAGTCTTATCCGGAATATAAAAAGTAAGTCTAAGTCTAATTCGAAACGAAATGCTTTTATTAAGTACTATCCGGAAGGCCTATAGCGACGTAACGCTTATAGCAAATACTATCTAAAACGCCTATAGTTAAACTATCCTAAATAGCATTCGAACTGTTTATAGCGAGTACCCTATATAACGCCTACTACGAGTACTCTATAAAACGCCTATAGCGAGTCCTCTATAGTATACCTATAGCGAGCAGTACTATCCGGAACGCGTAGGATAAGCCTTATTTTAAACGCTTAGTATAGTTAGTCCTATATAAACCGGAACGCGTATACTAAGTCTAATCCAAAACGCTTATAGAAAATCTTATCCGGAATATATAAAGTAAGTCTAAGTCTAATCTAAAACTAAATACTTGTATTAACTACTACGAACTATTTATAGCGAGTACCCTGTATAGCGCCTACTACGAGTACCCTATAAAACGCCTATAGCGAGTACTCTATAGAATATCTATAGCGTACTACTATCTAAAATACCTATAGTAAGTACTATTTAGAGTACTTATAGCAAGTTATATCCGAAACGCTTGTAGTAAATGCTGCTAAAAACGGTTATAGCGAGTAGTAGTATTCGAAACGCTTATAGCGGTTACTATCCGAGATATCTATAGCGAGTAGTACTATCCGGAACGCTTTACAACGCGCTATATAGCAATTCTAATCCGAAATACTTATACTAAGTCCTATCTAAAACGCGTATAGTGAGTACTGTCCGGAACGCGTATAGTAAGTCTAATTTAGAACGCTAATAGTAAGTACTATTAAGAACGCTTAGGCTTATAGCAAGTAGTACTATCTAAAATACCTATAGTAAGTACTATTTAGAATACTTATAGCAAGTTGTATCCGAAACGCTTATAGTAGATACTACTAAAAATGCTTATAGCGAGTAGCAATATTTGAAACGCTTATAGCGGTAACTATCCGAGATATCTATAGCAAATAGTACTATCCAGAACGCTTATAGTAAGTCTAATCTAAAACGCTTATAGAAAGTCTTATCTTAAATATATAAAGTAAGTCTAAGTGTAATCCGGAACTAAATACTTATATTAAGTACTATCTGGATTCCGGAAGGCTTATAGCGAGTAGTACTATCCGGAACGCTTATAGTAAATACTATCTAAAGTGCCTATAGTAAATAGTATTCGAACTGTTTATAGCGAGTACCCTATAAAACGCCTATAGCGAGTACTCTATAGAATATCTATAGCGTACTACTATCTACAACGCCTATACTAAGTTTTATTTAGAACGCGCTATATAGTAATTCTAATCTAAAACGCTTATAGAAACTCTTATCCGGAATATATAAAGTAAGTCTAAGTCTAATCCGAAACTAAATGCTTTTATTAAGTACTATCCGGAAGGCTTATAGCGAGTAGTACTATCCGGAACGCTTATAGTAAATACTATCTAAAACGCCTATAGTTAAATAGTATTCGCACTATTTATAGCAAGTACCTTATATAACGCCTCCTACGAGTACCCTATTAAACGCCTATAGCGAGTACCCTATAGAATATCTATAGCGAGTAGTACTATCCAGAACGCTTATAGTAAATACTATCGAAAACGCCTATATTCGAACTACCTATAGCGAGTAACCTATATAACCTCTACTACGAGTATCTTATAAAACGCCTATAGTAAGCACTCTATAGAATATCTATAGCGAGTAGTACTATCCGGAACGTATAGGACCCTATAAAACGCCTATAGCGTACTACTATTTATAGCCTATACTAATTTTTATTTAGAACGCGCTATATAGTAATTCTAATCCGAAACGCTTGTACTAAGTCTTATCCGAAACGCGTATAGTAAGTCTAATTCGGAACGCTAATAGTAAGTACTATTAAGAACGCTTATAGCAAGTATATACTAAGTCTTATCCGGAAGGCGTATAGTAAGTCTAACTCGGAACGCTAATAGTAAGTACTATTAAGAACGCTTATAGCAAGTAGTACTATCTAGAATACTAATAGTAAGCACTATTTAGAATACTTATAGCAAGTTATATCCGAAACGCTTATAGTAAATACTACTAAAAACGCTTATAGCGAGTAGCAATATTTGAAACGCTTATAGCGGTAACTATCCGAGGTATCTATAGCAAATAGTACTATCCGGAACGCTTATAGTAAACACTATCTAAAACGCCTATATTCGAACTACTTATAGCGAGTACCCTATATAACGCCTACTACGAGTACCTTATAAAACGCCTATAGCGAGTACTCTATAGAATACCTATAGCGAGCAGTACTACCCGGAACGCGTAGGATAAGCCTTATTTTAAACGCTTAGTATAGTTAGTCCTATATAAACCGGAACGTATATAGCAAGTCTTATCCGAAACTAAATACCTATATTAAGTACTATCCGGAAGGCTTATAGCGAGTAGTACTATCCGGAACGCTTATAGTAAATACTATCTAAAACGCCTATAGTAAATAGTATTCGAACTACCTATAGCGAGTACCCTATATAACGCCTACTACGAGTATCCTATAGGACGCCTATAGCGAGTACTTTATAGAATATCTATAATACTAAGAATAAGTCTAATTTAGAACGCTTATAATACTAAGTACTATTCGGAACGTATATAGTAAGTCTAATCCGGAGCGCTAATAGTTAGTACTACTATCTATAACGCTTATACTTAGTTTGCACGCCCGGATTTGATAGTAATGGCCGCGGCGCCTAGAAGTTATAATATTGTAAGGCCCGCCGTCCGCGTCTGCGACGCGGACTAGGGACTAGTATGCTATAGATAAATTGGGCGTGTAATACGCCTAAAAATTTGATCGATCTTTTAGCGTTATTGTTAGGACCAAAGAGGCTATACGTAATTGGCATGTGACTAGGCCGAGTGAAGCCAGGGTTTCGATGCCTCAGGCAGGGCTTGGCGCTTGGCGTTGGGCCAACTCTCCTGCCTTCCTCCCTCTCCTTCTAGATCCTTATCGAATACTACTTGTACCTACTACTACCCTATCTACCTGCTAATATAACCCTTCTTATACAGTATTCGATCCACCCTTTAAGGGCAGCAGCTAGATAGTCCTTATTTCAAGCTTTTAGCGGTATAGCTACGAACAAGACTAATCTGACTATATTGCGCCCTAAGAACGGGACCTATACGTACCATTCCATCGAAACAACCGTACCAATTATTAAGCAAGGCCTTCTACACGGCCCATTACACTAAGTTAATCGCACCAGACCAATACCTACTAATTCCGCTATATCCGCATCTTAGGGGCTAACAATACATTATTAGTGTCACCCCCTATTATAATAGCCGGCTCATTACGAAACAATAACCGTGCTGCCGCTAGCAGCGCTAGCAACGATAATGCTAGTAGCATAGTGCCTGCTAAAGTGCCTACTAGAGCACCTGCTAAAGTGCCTCCTGCCGAAGAGCCTGCTATAGGACCTGCTAAAGAAGAACCTGCAGTTCTAGGTAACGACCTAGAATTGCCTGTCGACGACATTCTTAACAATATTGTCAACCGTCGATATAGCTAGCTAGCTTTTAGTCCCTAACTAGTAGCGAGACTTTAGGAAGCTACCTAAAACAGGCTCACTGCCTTACGTTAAGAACAATAGCTGAAGGATAATCTCCTCGAGATTCGCCGTCTATAGGAAGCCCTAACAACCACTACTAAGCCGATAGCAGGGCCTTCCTTACTACCCGTCCCTATCTAAAAGAAGGATGCTAAGCTTAAGGACTGTACTGTATTTGACGGCTCTAGTCGCAAACAATATAATGATTATATACGCGATTGTGAGCTTAACTAACGAAATGCGCCGAGGGCTCTCCTAGATGACTATTTACTAGTTGTCTACGCGATGCAGTACATCAATAGCGACCTAAAGCGCACCTAGGATAACTATTTCGATTCCCTTACTAATTAGACCGCTGTTCAGTAGCAAGACTACAAGACCATTATACTAGATACCTTTAGAAACCCTATACTAAGGCAACAGCACGCTTAGGACTAGTACCTTCGGGCTAAGCAAAAGACTAATTAATCAGCCCGTTTATTTGAGGCCTATTTAAAGACCCTCGAGGACGATTTGCTAGCTAAGACCGACTCTATCTAGATTTCCGAAATACGCCCTAAATTGCGATAGGAATTGGTCCTTGAATTAGACCGCCGTCGTGTATTCGAACAGGCCAACCTAACACGCATTCAATTTATAGTCGAAGTGGAAACAGCCGAGCGGGCTATCTAGCTCTAATAACGACTAGAATCGAGGATCCGACTAGCTAGTACTAACCGTAGCAACCGCGGCCGCGGAGGAAACCAAGGTTCCTACTATAATAACAATGCTGATAATAGGAACAGTAACAATAACCGTAGAAGAGGCCGTAGCCGCCGGCTATACAAAGGAGGCCGCGATAGGGGCCGTAGAAGGGGCTCGTATCCTTATAACGCTAACCGCTTAACTAACAACAATAGCTACGGCAGTCTACTAACTGGATTGAAGTGCTTCAATTGCGACAGTACTAGCTATCTACTAGGCTAATGCGACAAACCTAGGGATTAGGCCCGAGTCGACCGTGCTACCGCTAAGTACCGAAAGCACCTTTTAGTAGCTAACGCTACCCCTATAGGCCAACCTTCGAAAAAAGAGTAAGCGCCGCACCAACTATTAGCCTCGTACGGCGTAAGACTATCGACATTGTACTAGCTATTACACGTACCTGTCTTATATCTAGGCCCGACACTAACTATAAGGCAAAGGTTATGCTAGACCCCGGAAATTCAGTCAGCGCCCTTATTAGCTATTACCTAGCTAAGCAATTAGACCTTCGACAACTGCCGAAGACTAACCTGCCAACCCTTGCTTGGTTTAATAACGCTCGGCACTTGACCTATAGAGCCTACTATATTCCTATAGTTCTAAAAGACGACCTCGGAAATAAACGCCTACTAAACTTCACTACCTACGCGGTAGACATAGACAGCCTCCTATCCGATATTGTTATTAGCAACCCTGTTCTTAAGTACTATGCTATAGTTATAGACTTAGGCAGCCAATAATAGCGATTTAGAATCGCTCGGAAAGAGGATATTAAACACATCGACATTAGCGAGTGTCCTAATAATATTAGGGTCCTGTTTATTAGTAACCTAATACTAGCCTCCGCCTTAGCTAATCCAACTGCCGACCTGCTCGGTAGTAATGACGATGAACCTGTGCCCCCTAATAGCATAGACCCTAATTAGCTTGCTCGCATACTAGAGCCTATTTGAGAGACCTACATTAATGTGTTCAAACACTACTTAGCATCGACATTGCCTATGTTCAAAGAGACAGACTATAAGATTGACATTATAGAGGGCAAAGAGGTTCCTTTTAGTCCCCTCTATAACCTTAGTAAACGAGAGCTTGCTGTGCTGCGTAAGTACCTAGAGGAAAACCTAGCCAATAGTCGAATTCGATATAGCAACAGCCCTACTAGTGCACCTATCCTGTTCGTACTAAAGAAGGATAGTAGCCTACGTCTGTATGTTAATTATCGTAGGCTCAACGCTGTTACTATCAAAGACCGCTACCTACTTCCTCTTATTAATAAGACCCTCGATCGCCTTTCTAGTGCTTACTACTATACTATATTGGATATTAAGGACGCCTATTACCGTATCCGTATCCGTAAGGGCGATGAATAGAAGACAGCCTTTCGCACTCGTTATAGGTATTTCGAGTACTTAGTTATGCTATTCGGCTTAGCCAATGCCCCTACTATATTCTAGTCCTATATCAATCGGGCCCTGTTAGGCCTATTAGATCACCTCTGTATAGTTTACCTAGATGACATCCTAGTTTACACACACTCTCCTAACATTGCGGAACACTAGGCTACAGTCCGTAAGGTACTCGATCGCCTAAGGGCCTATAGCTTGTATTGCAAGCCTTCTAAATGCACCTTTACTGCTAAGGAGGTAGCCTTCCTTAGCTTCATCGTATTAACTAAGGGTGTTAAGGCTGATCCTAACCGGATTAAGACTATCACTAAGTGGCCAACGCCTACTAGCATTAAGGAGCTTTAATCATTCCTAGGTTTTGCTAACTTCTATCGTCGCTTTATTAAGGGCTATTTACGACACGTAATGCCCCTAACTGAGCTCACTAAAACTAAGGCCAACCCGACTAAAGAGTTCAAATGGACTAACAGAGCACAAGCCGCTTTTAACGGTTTGAAGCGGCGCTTTACTAAAGTCCCCTTGCTGCACTATTTTGTACTAAGCAAGCAGATCCGTATTGAGACTAACGCTTTACAGTTCGCTATATCGGCTATTATGTCCTAGCAATCAGATAAGGACCATTACTAGCACCTAATTGCCTTCTTTTTACGAAAGATAATCGATGTAGAGCGTCGCTACGAGACCTACGAGTAAGAGCTCTTAGCTATTGTCGAGGCCTTTAAGCATTAGAGGCATTACCTCGATAGGGCCTAACATACGATATAGGTCTATACAGACCATAACAACCTCCGTAGCATTACTAAGGTTACTAGAGTTATAGGTCGACAGGCTAGATAGGCCGTCTACCTCGCTAGGTTTGATTTTAATATGTTACATCGGCCAGGCGTAAGCAACCCTGCTAATAGCCTATCGAGGCGACCTAATTACGATAGCGAAACCTAATACATCAATTCTCTGTTTCTAACCCTGTAGTATAAGATTGCTATAGACCTTGCTATAAAGCAGGCGCAGGATAAGCGGACTTCCGGACCCCGCGGCGGCAACAAATACTATAGCGGAGTTGTCGTTCTTCTAGTGTACGTTAAAAAGGACGTAGATCGCTCGAGCTATAACGACTCGATTAAAGATATTACTATCTATAGCGACAGCACTATAGAAGAGGTTGCAGTTAATCCGGCTACTAGTGCTATTAGATGTATACAATGCGTACCTCGTTCGACAGCACGGGTGCTGTTAAATAACCTTGTAAACGGGGATAGTTAATCGTTTATAGATAAGCTGTTACGTACTTAGTAGAGGGACGCCTTTGCTATCGAGCGCATTAATAAGCTTATAAGTGGGCGAAAGACTCGATCTAGCAAGAGTAACAACTAGTCGATCGATGACAAAGGTCATTTAAAGTTCAAGGGCAGATACTATATCCCCGCTAAACATTCGATCCGACAAGAGCTTCTTAAGCGACACTATAATAGTAAGCTTGCCGGTTACTATAGTATAGAGAGGTCGCACGAGCTACTATCGCGTACATACTACTAGCCAAATAGTAAGCGGGATATAAAGGAATACGTTAATACGTATACCGTATGTTAACGTGTTAAGGCACTAAAACATTAGCCTTTTAGCGAGTTGTCCTTATTACCAATCCCTTACAAGCTATTTGTAGAGCTTATAATAGACTTTATTACAGGCCTTCTACCTACTAAACGTAGGGGCAGCAAGGACATCTTCGATACTATCCTTATTATAGTAGATCGGTTTACTAAAGGCGCTCGATACATCCCGGTATAGAAGGATTGGACTGCTATTAATATAGCAGAGGCTCTATAGAGTAACATCTTCTGTACCTATTAGGGAACCCCTAAGGGGATAGTCTCCGATAGGGGCACGACATTTACATCGCACTATTAGAGCGAAATATGCCTACAGCTAAGACTAAAGCATCGGCTATTAACAGCCTTCTATCTATAGACTAACGGTCAAATAGAGAGGTAGAATGCTACCCTATAGCAGTACCTACGCAGTTACATTAACGAGAATCCTAGGGATTGGGTTAATCTCCTGCAGCCTGCAGAATTCGTATATAATAACAGTATATACTTATCAACCAAGGTTTCACTATATATAGCTATAATAGGTCAAAACGCCGCGTTGCTATAAGATCCATTTACCTCGCTCGAGGCCGAGCGTAAGGAAAGGGAAGCGCGTCAAGTACTAGAGACACTAGCGGCAATAGAACGTGTCTAGAAGATGCGAGAAATCTATGCTAAGATAGCCGAGAAGTTGACAAAGGCTTAAGAGTACTAAAAGACCTACTACGACAAGCACTATACACCGATAACCTTCAAACAAGGCGATATAGTTATGCTAAGCACTAAGAACCTCCGTATCCGCAAGCACCTATTACCTAACGGCAAAACAAGGCCTAAGCTCGCACTAA